AAAAAAAAAAAAAAAATCAAACCAGGGACACTTGCTGGCACATAGAACTGGAGTCTAAAATACAGCAGAGGGGAAATGCTGGAAGCAAGGGCTGCAGGAATAGCTCTACCAACACCAGAAGCTGGTGGGTACAAGCAAGCAGCAGTTCCAGCACTTGGATCATGCCCCTGTGCTGCTCCCATCAGCAACTAAGGGGGATCTCTGAGAAAGAAGGGGGACAGTGCCTTGGATGTGCAAAAATAAGCTTTAAAAATATGAGGTTTCTGGGAGATATAGGGGCTTTAAATAGGCTATGTTCATATATGCATCAGCCCTACAAAGCCACACTGAAAAATTATAAGAGGGATGTTTTTAAAACGGATTCTGAACAAGTTGTGGTTTTAAGGATGACAAAACATTAACACTCTACCCAAAATCCAACCCAGCAAATTCATGTTTCACTGGCCAGTCCTGACCAGTCCCAAAGCTTTCAAATAAATCCAACTCCTGAGCTTGAATGTAGGTCTCATTAGCTCTGGTTTCACCATCTTTCCAGGTTCTTAATGCAGGTTTGGTTTATTAGATGCTCAGGTTAACACCCATAGGATGAAAGTATTCAGAAAGAAGTGGGATTTCTGTGTGTACATAATTTCATCGCTAATACTGCTCCTTTCACTCACAACATCTCAGGGGTGCTTACAAGAGAAATGGGAGGAAGAAAAGTGATCGTACAAGCCCCATTAAGTGCCCCAGTCACAGAAAGCTGATGAAGAGACCTCCCTTTAAATGCTGTAGATGACATTGAAGAGTAGAAGTCAGAGATCTTGACATTTCAGCCATTTTGGATCCAAAGCTGCCAATTTTGGGTTCATTCCCAGGTGATGATGGCCCTTCCTACTGTAAGTAACCAAACTAGGCATCTACCTATTCTTGGCAATTTTCTGGAGGAAAATATAGTTGTATAAACATTGGAAGCTTCCAAGGAAAACAAGGAGACAAGAAGAGATCCCAGTTACATTTTGTCTGCCTCAACTTGTATCTCAGAAGGGTTTGTAGTTGAGAAGCACAGCATCAGCCATGCCTGCAACTAAGCAGAGAAGCCAGAGCCCTTTGCAAAATGGTGATACTATTTTATCCTATTTGACAGGGAGCTAAGCAAGATAAATAAACTAAAGATCCAAAGTTGTTTGTTTGTTTTTGCAGTTACTGTGTATTAAAAAAAACAAAAAAACAGCCAGCCAAAAGTGGCTGCTTCTGTTTGTTGGATAGATAAAAAAATGATTGTCGCAATTTTCTTCTGCAGAATATCTTTTTCCCCACTCCCACCTAGGATGATTTCCCAGGTGTGATATTTGCTGTGTACAGACAACACTGTTTTGGAAGCAATAAAAAAAACCTGAACAAAACCAGTTGATAGATTTAACTTCATGCTTATACAATGCAATCCATCAACATCTCCCACGTGGATAGCGATCCTGCAACATGCCTGGATGGATTTTAAAAGATGCTGCAGCCAGCCCTGGACTCTACCCATGGAGCAAGGGCTATTCTGGTGTTGTAATACCCAGCAGCAGTTCATTTTGGGTGAAGCACACAGGCTGCGCACAGAGCATTGTGTTTATACACTGCAATTAGCAGTGTCACTCTGTGCTTAATTGCTGCCAAACCATCAACAGGATCTTGGTATCTGGGAGCTACCTTGAAATCTGCCACCTGAACTTCAGGCCTTTAAAAGCTCATATGGCGATTGCATGCCAAAGCTTATTTACCCACAGTTTCTGTGTTCAGGGCAATAGAACCCTGTTAAGATGATGCACTGACTTCATAAGAACTTCCTTGGTTGAATAACTGATGAACAAGCTATAGTTAGATCAGAAATTACTTCCTCACACCAGCTACAGAGATTATAATGGTCTGAATCTCAGCAAGACCATTTCTTCTCCTTTATATGGCTTTCATTAAAAAAACATTAAAAAATTTAAAAACGTGAAAGGGAATCTATCCATTAAAGCTGAAGGCACACAATAGAAAAAGGAGTTTTGCAGCTGTTCAAAATTTTAAAAGGTGATCAAGTGTGCAGGTTGGGTGCCTTCAACCCCCCTCCTCCATTCACAAAAGGTCAGAGGAAAGCAAGAGATAATTACAATTCTAGCAAGCAGTCTCCCAAAAAATTTATAACTCAAGCTTACAATTAAAATTCTTATTTTCATGTAAATTTTTAATGTGTAGTAGAAAGCCTCATCTGCATACATTTGAGGGAGAAGGAGAGGAATCATTAACACTCTGGCTGTCGAGCTGCAGCACAATTCAGAACACAAATATTCCCAGTCACCAGCACAAGATTTCAAACATGCAAGTTTGGGTCGTGACCTAAATTTAGGTGAAGGCCTTTTATTCTAGAAGGTTTGATCTTTTAAAAAGAAAGCAGATTACCATGCTGTAGCCTACACTAAAAAGGGTTGCTCTTTGAATACATGCCTTGCTTTCTGATTATTACAGCGTATAACATGTACATACCCCATTCCTTCCTTCCCAGGTAGATTCCCTCTAGATTTTTGCAAGGCTTAAGACCTCTCTAAGTATGCCATATCCTTTTTTATAGAAGCCATTCTCAGGCAAACATGTAGTATACTACAATTGCCTCTACTATGGGCTTGCGGTGGCTGAATTACTGTAAGGTCTGATACAGGGCAATACAATAGGTATTGTCATCAATATGCCACCACCTTTATGTAAAGCAAATAGACACCTAAATTACAGTATTTTCCTGGTTAATCCTTCACAGAGACACCTAATTACTGTGGCTGGATATACAGCAGCTGGATACAATTAGCATATGTAAAACTTCCTATCCTCATCCAGTACCTTGTGATCTTGGCAAGTTTTCCCATGCATCCCAAAAGTCCTCTCATGCAGAGCAGAGATCACTAAACCCCAATGCTGGGAGCTTGGGGTAAGTCCATCCCAGCTTCAGAGCTTCACTCAACTGCAGAGATTGGAGTTTACAGTGCAAGTGATCCTGAATTTGAGCGATAGCATGAAACACTCTCCCACCCCTTCCAGAGAGGGATGGAGGGATGCTCATACTGGTTTGCAGCCCGTAGAAGTTACGTGCTTACTCAAACAGCCAAGGACTATTTTACAATTGGAGGAGGAGAAAAAAAAAAAAAAAAAAAAAAAAAAAAAAAAAAAAAGAGGCTTCTCACTCATCTTATTCATATCCTAGAGTTCACACCCATTCTCTGCAGTACTCAGGCACACGCAACTACACCTGTCCAGAGGACAATTAGCCTTCATTTGCATTTCCCCCCTCCAGATACAGTGCTACAATTCCTCATTTCAGCTCTAACACCTTTGAGGCACTTTATTGACAGCAAGAAGGGAACAGATTCTTCATACTTTGGTTTTGCATAGCCTGGAGCTAACTTTAGACCTTCTTTTCTTGCTCCTGCAATAGCTATTATCTCCATTTCTCTATTCAACAAAGTGGAAGTTGAGGCTTCATGTAGATCTTAAAAGACAAATTTAGAGACTGAATATTTTTAAGCCTAGCTCAGATACCTTTAACCAAACTCTTTTCTAGCACTAGAAAAACAAATGAAATTTCAAGTAGAATTGGAAGCCTGCCACTGATGTTTTTTGTTAAAATAAATCAGTGCAAGCAGAGCCAGCTTTCACAGAAAAATTAAGCCAATGGTAATTTTTCTATGATTTTTTCAGCTAAGAAGCATGATGTTCTGGTTCATAAGGCATATGGAATAAGGCATTTTTAGTATATAAGTTAGTACACGCACACATGCCAAGACATTACGTCCCGCTGTTTTCCTGACAAGTCTTTAAAACCCAATTACACCCTCCACTACGGATGTGCCTGGGTATTTGCTCAAAGGAAACTTCTGCTGGCTCAGAAGCAATCAGACTAAGCTGGCCAGACTGAAAGCAGAGGGAAAACAGCACAAACATTTCTACTTTGCAAAAGGAAATTTGTTTTACACTGCACAAATGCAAGCCATTACTTTTCAATTCACATGGGAGCTCCCGGCCAAGCAGCACCACCAACAATCAATGCAATTCAGAACCAGGGAGCATTTTTGGCATGGGATCTGCCGCCCAGAAGTGTTTCTCCTTAACAGGCTCTTTTCCAGAGTAAAAGCACTCCACAGCCAAAAAGATCCCTAGTTATAGTCTTAAAAACAAAACAGAGAAGCTAACTGTCACCAGAGCAAAACCAAGCCCTCAAAAAGCAACGAAAGAATCTCCTGGGAGCATTGCCAGAAGAAATGAGATTTAAGTTCTGTTTTGGTTTTTATTCTTTAAGTAGTAAGCACACAAAAAAAGAAACCCAGGTAACATGAGAGCACAGAAGAACAGTAATATACAACCATTACCTAGATGATGTAACAGGGCAGCTTTGACAGCAGTTTTTTCACACTTCTTCCTATAAACACATGGACTCTCATGAGACCCCACCTCACAGCCCCATCCAACAACAGGGAACATGTGAGTCCAGCCCCGCTGCCTGGATTCCTTCTGCCAGAGCTCTTAAAACTGCATTTATCCAGGGGAAGGAAAAGTCACCTCTAACAGCTCCCTTGATTATCCCTAGCTAGTTCTCACCTCCTGGTGCCTTTCCCTACCTATGAACTTATTCTCACATGGACAGAAGCTAGAGACCTCATAGAAATGCAGGTCCTACCTATTCAGCCAAAGAAACACAAGCACACCAATAAGACCCAGAGCAAGGAGCAAAACAGAAGTCTCCCCCAGAGCCAAAAGGAAAATACAGATTTGGCCAAACCCATACAACTCAGTCCCTTTGAGAGAACCATCACCAGCTCAGCATTCCCACCTGTTATGTCAACCACATGGTGAGAACTTCTCACAGACCTCCAAAGTCATGGGGACAGTAGTTTCCATGGTCTGTGTAAGCCAACAATAGAAATAAAATACCCAAGCACTTTCAACCAAGACCCACACGTATCCCAAAGTCACTCGGGAAGAGGTGACAGTCAACTACCCACCTTGGTGGTGTCATCATGTGACCGCTGGTACCGTTTCCAGCGGCAGCCGTAGATCCCCGTCAGACAGGACAAACATAGCTGCGGCTCGTAGTACTGCAGCGGCTGGTGTTTAACCATGCTCCTTCCCGCCCCTCAAGAGCGAGGTATCAGAAATCCATCAGGTCCTGGGAGTGCCCTTTAGCAAGAGAAGAAAATAGAAGACGGTTTAAAAAAAAAAAAAAAAAAAAAGGAATTTAAAAATGCCAAGCATTTCAATATATTAACAAGTAATTTAATAATTAACCATGTCCTCTGGCTATTAAGAGGGGAGGGATGATAATCAGATCTATTCCCAGCTCTGCCAACATCTCCAGCTTGTTACTCAACAAGACTGAGAAGTTTAATTAGTTTGCAAGTTATTTCCTTGTGCAGTTTCTCCCACACCACTAAAAGCAAATGTATTCACAGGAGTTATCAGAAAGAAAAGCCACACAAGGACAAGAGCAGTGGATAGATTATTTGCAGCCCAGGTGATTAGATTTATATGAATGATTGAAATGTAAAGAACCATACCCTCTGCAAACACAACCTTAAAATTGATTCAGAGACCTCTGCAAAGTTGAAACCCAGCCAAGTCAAGTCAGTGTATCTTGAGCATCCTATAGAGCCTGCAAAACAGTCACAGATGAGAAGCTAACACTTTTGTGGACAGTGGAAAAGGCAGGTATTACCTTCTCCCTTCATATGCATCTCCAACAGGCACTCACAGGGATGCAGAGCTGGTTGCAGCCTTCACCCAGGAGAAAGATCCCTTCTCCAAAGAGCATTAACTCCCTAAAGGACCAAACTGACTCCAGTGCAGCTGCTCTATTTGCCATGCATGGGAACATCACTGTTTCAAGGGAAAGTACTTCGCTCCAATTACACGCTTTGCACGTCACAAAGTTTGAGGTTTTTTTCATATTTAGCTGCTCACTTCTGTCTCTGGTAAGACGCTTATCAAGAACAGACCAAGTAATTGTATGCTCTTACTAATTCATAGAGTCAGCATTTGGGGATGGCAACCTCAAAGTAAATATTTGACAGGCTGGTGGCGTCACGCTGTTCTCGGCTCTGCTTAACACCCACGAGGGGTTTTCCACAGGTTCCTAGTGCACAAGGGTACGCCCACAGCCCCATGACATTGCTGCTGCATGGACAGTCACTGCACTATGAGTGATGCTCAACAGCAGCTGATCTTGAAAAGTGCTTGGCTACCTTTACAGGACATGCACAGTTGCATGTATGATATGTGGGCAGTAAGGAAATCGTACTCTCTCTAGAGAAAACGCTTTGTGTTTCCTTATACACAGGATTTCCAGTGCTCAGGTCTTGCAAAAAGCTATGACAGCCACGAATAGCAACATCCTCACTGGCATCAGCAAAGCCTGACAGGGCTCAGGGAGATAACCTACCCACCTAAGAGCCCCTCATTGCCACAGCCCATGGAAGAAAGCTTCCAAGAACAGGGTTGATCATATTTTTTGTTATAGCCGATGCATAAGGGGATGCTGCAGGCACTGCAAATGCTGTGGCAGAGTCTAGAAATGTCAACAAGGACATGGACAGCTCAACCCTTCCAGCTTCTGTCCTTCTTTGTGTCCATTTACACTCTGTGCTTCATGCTGACAGCCTAGGACATCCCTGTCCTGAATTTCTCTCATCAGGACTCAGCATCCTGGAAGCAGACAGTTCTTGCTAGTTGGTTGCTGCTGTTTCAAAGCCCACCAGACCGTTACCACACTGTCTCCAGAGCCTGCAACCCATAGGTCCTCTGCCTTTCTCTTATACACACGAAATGTAGCTTTGTCCTTTCAGCAAACCTCTCTGTAATGCTCTGGGCGCTGCTCAAGGCATTGACCCAGGTGGAGGACAGGAGATGTGCAGGACTTGCATCTCAGTCTGTAGCTGGCCCAGATCCCCACGCGATTTTGTTCACCCCCTCAGGGAGGATATGCAGGACAGAGGCGCAAAACACATCCAGTTTGAAACGAGAGCTGTTTGCTGATCATGTCACCCCATGCTCTCCCAGCTCATCTGCCCCTAAGCACTGCTGTACTACCTCCACAGCTTGAGGTCACCTCCCTGCCTGCGTTTCAGCTCTTCTCATGCTATTTATAAAGCTCAGCATTAGTCACTGCACAAGTTGCCTCCTATCTTCAGCTTTTGTCTGCTTCAAGATTGCCCCTACAGCATGAGTTGCCCAGTGTCTTCCCCACATGCCAGCAGCACACTGCAGGCAGAAACAACTGTCAGTTAGAATAGGGCAGAAACACTGAGGACATGTAAATTCAGATGCTACTTAAGGGTCTTCTACAAAGCCCTAATCTCTACCCAGAAGATCCTAAGCAGCAAGTGATGTACAAGATGTTATGGGACATAAGCAGGACATAAAAATTATGCACAGCCTATGAACAACTCCACTGCCAAGCCCCATATTACCACCCTGAACACCTAGAAGCTACAGTCATTAATTTGGGAAGGATTTCTTCTAATCTCCAAAGGACAGCATCTCTCCTGATTTCCACCTCTTCCTGTTTTACTCATGCAAGGCAAGAGGGCAAACAGACCACCCCTATCCGTAAAAACTTTGACCACATATTTTATTTGCTAGCTTACAAGAATTGCACTGCAAACTCAAACACAAGTGGTACACTCAAGCATTTCATCACTCCACTCTTCTGGGAAGCCCATAAGCTCTTCTCCAGATGTCTGGGCTGAAGAACTGGTGCTGTACACCAGCCACACATATACAGTGTCAAAGCTGGCAAATTCTGACTTTTCAAATAGAAATCCAAATAATCTGGAGTGACAGAAGCCTAGGGGTAGAGGCTGCCCTTCAGAAATAACATAACTTATGTTAGGGTTCTATCATTCCATTAAAAAAATTGAAGCTGAAACACTTAAGTCCGTAGCTGAAACTTCACAGCACAATTCAGGAGGCAACTGATAAGGCTGGGAAGGGAATGGGGTGAGTTTTGGCAAGCACCACAAGTTAGCAGGTATATGAAGAGTTCTCAGGTCTATCATCAGGATCCCTGATTCAACCTGGTCAGGATACAAACATCCCTCTCATGACTGCATATCCAAAGCTACCAGTTAAAGGCATAAACTCTGCTGTGCATAGTGAAGGCACCAAAGCCTTTTCAAACTGCATTGCTTTAGTAAGATATGAGTCACAAGAGAGAGGGACCAGCAATCAACCCTTCTCCCTGCAGAAAAATCCTACCAGGAACACCAACAACCAGGGTAGATGTGAAATATTTGAGTTTATTGTCCAGTTCTGAAAGGCATCTCCCAATCTCCTGCAGCAGCATCTAATCCAGCATCTCCCAATCTCCTGACAGAGTTCAGGATGGACACGAGTGTTTTCAGTACAAAATGGGAACACAAAAGCACATCTGCCCATCAACACCATCACCAGAGACAGTGCTGGAAGGTTTTAAGAGCAGCAGAATCAACTTAAAACAACCAGAAAGACAAAAGTCACAAGCAAGGGAAAAATACAGCTAAAACAGCTCCATAAGCCACCAAATGAAACTCCCACCCTGGTTCCTCTCACTGAATCCCAGCACAGGTAGATGCTATGGGAGCCCATGGATTCAGGCTGCTCTCCATAAAAGCAGTCAGGAGACGCACGAAGAGAAGAAATACAACATGAGTTTCAAAGAGAGTCATTCCTAAATGCAGTTGAATCGCAGCAGGCACAACCTGCAAGCCTAAAATCATTCCCTCTTCTACGCGAATGTCATGTGCAGATGCACAAAAGCCCACAACAGGAAGGAAAACACAAAACACAGCACCCATCCTCCCCACCAGACACACAGTCACTTGAGTAGTAACAAGAAATTCAGGAAGAGACTGAAGCACAGCAAGCAAGATGCTGCTCAAGAGAAACCACACTGATACCATCTGCCCTGAGATCCTTGCTTGGCCGAGATCATGGACTGAATACTTACTTGTCTGGCTTCCAGAAATGGATTTAATGGAGAGAAGCAGAAAGTCTGTGCCTTACAATCACTGTTCCCATGACATCTACAGCTTTGAGGTGGAGAAAGCAGGCTATGAATGATTCAAACCTCTGCTGGTTAGCATTACATACAGAAATGAAAACAGGAAGCAAGACAACATACATTAATTATTCAAATTCAGCAACGCACACCAGAAGAGGGAAAAAATAAAATAGAAAACACAAACCCACATAAGCTATCAACCTTGACTTTAAAGATGCATCATCTGCCAATGGCTATAAACTTCTTGAAGCTGAATAACTGAGTTTGTCAGCCAGCTTGCCCAAAAAGGGGGAGCAGGGAAGAGTCCATCTGCAAATACAGCGGGAGCATTTTCTGAAGGCTCCAGGATGCCTAATTAGCACACAGTGCATTCCTGAGATACTGGACTGTAGGTATCCGTTACAGCCTGTGACACATTATTCCTTTCCAAACAGCTTTGGAGGGGAAAAAGAAAAAAAAAAAAAAAAAGCAAGAGAATTCAAGTTGCAAATTTAAAAGGGAAGCTGTCTGGGGAGATCTGGCCTAAAAATTTGTATTTTTGTCTGTATGAGTTAACTCCTCCATCCCTGTAGCCTTAGAGCAACACTCAGACCTGGAGTGGAGAGGTAACAGAGCGATTAGGACCAATTGTTAAATTATTTTCATGTTATCATTTTAGCAAAGGGAACAACAGCATGAGTCCTGAAGTGCACTGAGTAAATAATGTGAATGAAGCCATGGTATATTAGATTTAATAGCATCTAACCCTTTCACAAGGCTTGGTACAGTCCAAGCCCTCCCCCTCTAATCCCCCTTCAAGTTTTATTTCTGTCAACCCAGTTCACACTGGTCACACTGATCTCATTCAGCACCTTGGGACAAATCTTTTAATAGCCCAGAGACAAGCAGCTTGCCGCACACATCCAGAGAAACTACCAACAGCACTATCTGACCTACCCACATGGCTTGGGGGAGAGATGAGAACTATGAGTTCCCACCTGCCTTCTTCCAAATACCCTCAGCTGGTTCAGTACAATAAGCACATGGCTTCTTGCTTGAGCCTGCCAAAGGCTCGTAATTTGGATCAGCACATCCAAAAAAAGAACTGAAACATAGCTAAGGATGCTTTGATGCATGCTTATGAATCCTCAAGTCTGAGGAGATG